TTTTATTGCAGAGTTTTAAGTTCAGATGTGCTTATGTAGTGGTCAGGCCAGTGCAAGTAGTGACAGACTCCTTGGGTATCAGAGAAGTTTTGTGTAGAGTAGTTGAGGTGGGACAACATGTCTGGAGATCATGTAGTCCACCCCTGTGCTAAAAGCACGGCTGAGTAGAGCAGGTTGCTCAGGACCATGCCAGCCAGGTTTTGACCATCTCCAAGGATGGAGACTTCACGCTCCTCTCTGAGTGACCTGTTCTGGTGTTTGACTAACAGCGAAAAAGGGGTTTTGTTTTTTTTTTTCCTTGTGTTTAAGTGGAATCTCCTGTATTTCAGTTTGTGCATATTGTCTCTTGTCCTTTCTCTGGGCTCCCTTGAGAAGAATCTGCCTGTTGTCTTTACTCCCCCCATCAGGTTTTTATCTGCGTTGATAAGATGCTCCTGAGCTTTCTCTTTTCCAGGCTGAACAGTCCCGGCGCTCTCAGCCTCACCTCCTATGTGGCTCTTTGCTGCACACCCTCCAGTATGTCCACGCCTGTCTTGTCCTGGAGAGCCCAGAGCTGGGCACAGCACTCCAGGGAGGTCTCACCAGTCCTGGGTAGGGGGGCTGAGTGTTCCAACTGCATACAGTGTGCTGGCTGTCATGGACTGCCCTGGGATTAGCTGCAAGTTTGGAAATTAAAGCTGTGACTAAAAGTTTTTGGAGTAGATTTTTTTTGCATGATGGCAGAACTAGTTCAGATTCAGGATAGGGGGAGCAACCCTGATTGCCTGAAATTCATCTACCTTTAGAATTGATTTATTTTAGTATGATACATGCTGCATGCTTTTGCCATATGGCTTTGAATCTTGGTTACATCCTGAGGGTCGATTTTGCTCTGTGCTGGACTTACTTTAGTGTGACTTTAATGACTTAGGGAGAATTATTATCCTGGTTTCCACTAGAGTAAGTAACAGCTCTCAATAGCAAATGGAGAAATTGTAGCATACTAGTACCAACAACACCTAGCTGCATTTTTACATGGAAAGGTCATGTGCTGTAGGAATAGCATTGAGGAAACACCTGCATGTCTTTCTAAACAGTATAGTGGTGACAGACCTTTGCTTAACATCTGCAAAGGTTCTGCAGCCAGCACCTTTTCCTAAGGGTGTTCCCTTTCCTGTAGTTGTTGACTTGCTTATATTATGCTATGTCAGTATTTGGAATTATCTTCAAACAAATGGGAGACAGCAGAAGTCTTGGAATGTGGGACTCAGCCTGATTGATTAGAAATTGAATTCACGTGAACAGTCTCCATTTGTAGGATTGTACATCCTCAGGATTTTTTCTTTTGCTTTCCTCACTTGAAAAGGAAAGGAGTTTTTTCCTGAATATTTTGCTTTTTTGTTTAGGAAAAAAAAAATCTGAAAAGGAGACAGGCTTGAATTTGCTCTTCTTTGTACCTTAAGGTACAACATTCAATGCCCCAAAATGAAGAAAATGAACAAAGAATTTCATTCTGTTTTACTACCTTGCAGAATCAGTATGAGAAACTATTCTGTGTCAGTACCAGTTTGAAAAGATAAATTAGCTTGCGTGGTGCTCCATGCTGTTTCAAATTAGATTACTTGTAAAAGAATTCTCTCTTTTGCAGCGGACTCGGGTAGTTACTGTATCTTGCAGGTTGTATTTCACAAACTAGAATGAAGATTTGTTTTGCTTTTCAACTAGGAAATTAAAAAAAACATCATACCCCTTGTAACTGACAGCTTTCTCAGTTACATTATGTATCGCATGCTGAATGGTACATACTAATATCAATATACTTATCAGGCAAAAAAGAGAAATAATGCAGTAGCTAACTCCCTTAACTCTGGGAGTTCCCTGAGCACGTAACGACTTGTGTGTGATTCATTAGTGGGTTGACAAACCTTTCCATGCACTAAACCCCTTTGATTATTCCTGTATTCATAATTATTTGTATGGCTTGAACTCCTGGTATCATTTACCAGCTTTTCCCTCGGAATATTTCTTAAAATATGCTGATAGAAGTTGATTCTGAAGACATAAAGCCTGGCACTTACCACTCTGCAAAGTTCAACTATGCCTTTGTATGTGGGTAAGTACAGGAATGTGTAAAGCTAATGCCTGTTTCGTTCTTGAGTACTGCACACTGATGGTCGTAGAAGTCCTCCTTTTCCTGGGAAGCCTTTTATTATTTCCCTTATGATTGGCGTGACAGTTCATCAGTGTTTTGTAAGAGAAGTCAGAAATTCTGTGCAGTGACGAAAATAGTATCTTGTGCTTTTTACTTCCGTAGGCTGGCCATTTATGAAGCCTGCATGGTAAGACTTCCTGTTGGTGCTCTGAAGAGGGTGAAGAATCTGGGTGGCCTTGGAACAGTCTAATGCTCTTCAGGGAACTCGTTTTTTGTGCCTGCAAATTCCACCAGCTGAGGGTCTCCCTAGTATGACTTTGCTCTTGTGACAACCTGTTTCGGGGTGGCTGAGTAGGTGTTTCAGTGGATCTGAAGGCAAGGTGGGGTCAATTCCCACTGGAGTCTTGGCCTAGGAGGCTTCTGTTGAGTCTGCCTAAAATTCATTTGGTTTCCCTGAGGCCCCACTGTGAGGCAGGGGTGAAGCTGCAGGGACTCACCCCAGTTGTCCTTGCTACCGCAACCAGTCTTCCATCCCATGGCACAAATGGCAGTAAGGTGTTCTACAAACTTTGATCACCTTAATGTGAGTAGTAAGCTGCTTTTGGAGCAACGCTAGACCTTGAGTGTGCCATTTGACTACACTGCCTGACCTCCAGACTGCTGTTATCTCTAGCAAGCAGGTTTTTGAATCAACTCTCTTGTCTGTCTGGTAAATGTTACGGCAGTTGTCATAGGGAGGAAAAAGGGTAGTGTAATTATCCTAGCAGTTTTCTAATGGAGATAAATTTCATATTTCACTCATTTTCTCTCCACTGTGCTGCAATGCTAAGAAAAGCATTAGAAGATGAGAGCACAAAGAAATGTTACTGGTGCTGTACATCACCTCTCTTATGTGGAGTTCATAGGAGCTTATACCTAACTCCTTCAACATGTCATGGCATCAGCACCTCTCTGTGCTGCAGGCAAAATCTGAACTTCCTATACTGATTGTCATATTAAACACTTTGGAGGCTATTTACAGAAAACTGTCAGAAAATGGGAAGAAAAGCTTTGGCTTCATGTGAAGATTATAAAACATTTTCACACTCATGCATAGGCATCCTCTGATAGTAAGGTTCAGGATTCAGTCTCACTTTCTTTGCTGCCTTAACTAGAAGAGCATCTGTTCCTTCCTGTTACTTCTAACAATTGAAATTCTCTGTGTCCATCATTTCCCCTTTGCAAGACTACATGCTGCTTGCCATTTCCCATTGGTGGTGCACAGAGAGGCTGTACAGTAGATTGGAGAGTTTCCTATTATTTACTTTGCTAGTAGCTTCTTATTTCACTGCTTTAAGAGAATCAAGCAAGTGACCTCAGTTTGCCTTACAGCAATTAATTGTCTTAAGATGATTTGTGCATTATTAGCACTAAAACGATATCCTGTAATCTGTTTCAGACGTATATATTTAACAGTGGAAGGATTCTTTTGGGTGTTTGAGCTGGAGGGAGGGGTTTTTTCCTGGAGCCTCTAGTGACAACATGCGACTGCTTCTGAGTTCCAGGGGTTGGAGGGAGGCATGGGGCATTAACCCGGTAGCGATAAGGGAGAAGCTGGTCTAAACTCAAGTAGGAAGCATCTCTGTCCATGTGTGAGGGTAAGTTCTGTTGTGGTGGGTACTTGCTTGGTATCTTTGTTCTTGTATTTGGGACAGAACTTTCAAAAGTGATAGATTTTTTTTCTTAAACCAATATTGCAACCAAACTGTACGTAAGTGTGATTGTTGATTGAAATAGGCAACAAACTGCAGTGGTGTGCACGGGTTGTCTGAATAACCATCGTGTTCTGCAGCAGTTATTTCTGTATTTGTTAGTTTGCTGTTAGGGTTGCTTTAGCTGTTCCTGAACATTGAAGAGACAGATGAGATTTCTGACTGGTTGCACAGTATAAGCATCATAATAAAATTTTGGTTTTGTAATTTTCTGTTTTAATTGTAAATACAGATGGTAGGACAAAATAAAAAGGAGATGTTTCCATTAGAAAACAAAGGAGGTGAAACAACTGATCCTAACAGAGTACATGCTGTGGTTCACTTAAAATATTGTGACTGCTAAGGTTTCATTCATGTCTCTGCCTGGGTTAATAAAACTGAGACTAGTTGTAGGTATGCCTAACCACAACATAGTGTTAATGCAGACCTATGCAGTGCCCTCTGTTCTGCTTACAAGTGTTGGGTGAAGTGCTGTACCAATAGCTTTTTGTGAACAGTATCCATTTCCCTCCCCCAACTCTTCTTTTTCTCGTGTAAAAATCCTAAAGCATACCTTGAGTTTGTTAGAAAAACTAACCACAGCATAGTGTTAATGCAGACCTATGCAGTGCATGCTTCTGCCCTCTGTTCTGCTTACAAGTGTTGGGTGAAGTGCTGTACCAATAGCTTTTTGTGAACAGTATCCATTTCCCTCCCCCAACTCTTCTTTTTCTCGTGTAAAAATCCTAAAGCATACCTTGAATTTGTTAGAAAAACTTCAGATGTTTGTTGCAAAAAGTGTATTTAATGGATAAAAACTTCCCTCCTTCTGTCTTCACTTTTTCTACTGCTGTGTGATGAAGCAGCAGGCAATGTGGACCTGTTCCGTTATGGAGTCACTTCTACAGACAGGAAATGTTCCTTTTTTGGGATGTGTTGGGGGTTTTTTTGTTTTGTTTTGTTTTAAAACTCACTGAAAGCCAATGTCTATTAGTTACCTGAAACAGTTTTTACAGAATGTGTATGGTTACCAGAAGACAGCTTGAAAAAAGGGATTGCGTGTGTTAAAGCTTTTTTTTGTTACAGGAAGAGTAGTAACATGATTCTGTGTATCTCTACCCATCTTTCTGCCTTTGCAGCATACCTTTTGTTGATTTGTTAGACAGCACGGAGTTGCCAGAAACTTGTGTTGATGATGCCATAGGCCGTCCAGTTGTTGACTTGGCAACAGGAGATTCAGAAGAGGCTGTTAGTTGCCCTCATCCTGGCACAAAGGAAACTACTGCTGAAAAAGCAGACTCTGATCGTAAGCAAACTTAGAGATTTTTCCCTATTATCATGATGTGTGGGATCAAAGTTAACTGATTAGGTTTGTTATGAGGTTGTTTCCTTACAAAAATCCAGAACTGTTTCAGAAGGCTCCCTTAGATTATATGCAGAAGGACAGTTTTACCCACCACTGGGACAACAAAGTCAGTCAGCTCTTCCCATTTCAGCTGGAAGGAGCTTATTTCCGAGGGCAAGAGGTCCAAGGGAAGTCACGTTTCTTCATGGGATCTGACTTTAGCCGCAAATACAGTGAAGTGCAACCATCGGAGCAATTAACTCTTGCTGCTTCCTTGTTCACTGTGAGCATGGCTGTGTAAATGAACTTGCAGGAGTGCAGAATGTTGTGATTATGTACCTACAGTCTGTAGGCTTGAAAGTTGTGATGGTTTAGCAAGTAGCTTCCCCCATCCCTATGCTTTTTTCCACAACTTTAAAACCATATGATTAGCTTTCAGGAAGAACACAAGTTACAAGTCAAATAACTCCACAGTGACATTAGGAAGAAGTTATTGGAAGATGATATATCTTTTCTGTCTTTTTCAGCATTTGAAGACACGTTCCTAAAACTGAAACAGCTTGAGACAGAGCGCAGCAGCCCCATGCCAACTGAGCGTCCCAATGTAAACATAAACGTACAGGTACTTGGGCTTCATTCCTCCTGGCAGAGTCACTGAGTTTTTTTCAGATCACTCTGAAAAGTCTTCTGCTTACCTTGGGCTATTTACAAGATTTTTTAAGAGCAGAGGTGGGTAATACTGGGGGATAGTAAAAGGAAATACACATACTTTGTTGCATATAAACCTGTGTGTGACAGGGCAGAGGTGCATGTGAACGTATGCAGGCTGGTGAAGTTTTCTAAAATCCATGAGAGTAAAAGCCATAACATTTGAAACGTTCCTCAGTTATCGTTGTCTTTGTAGATTACTAACTGTACAGTGTCGTAAAGCTCACCCTCTGTTTTTGAGGGGCTGAGCTGCTTTCCTGGAGTTTTTGAGTTGCCTTTGGTAACCCTCCAAGAACATTGTTTTGACGTTTTAAGTCAAGTTTGCTGGTGATCAGTCCCTCCTGTTAAGTAACCAGTTTTTACCTGCTCTCTGAAGTAGGTGTTAGTGCTCTGTGTGTTTACATAGAGAGGAGTGATGTGGTTTGATTTAATGCTCTCATAAATCTTTTTGAGCAAGTCAGACTGCATTTCCACAGGCAGCTGAGCCGAAGTATGAGCTTCAGTACCTTGAAGAGGGTGAGGGCTTTCTTCTCCCCTGTTCCTCTTTGCTCTTCCTTCCCCAGCTTCCTTCTCTCCTGTGTCACCTCCAGGAATCATTGCATGTTTTGGTGAACCAATGTAGCCTACAAAATGGAAAACAAAATTTTTTGCCTTTTTTGTTTTCAACTTTTTGTTAAAGTGTTGGGATTTTGGGGGTTTTGTTTTGTTCTTTAAGTTGTTAAATAGGTTCATGGAAGGGGTCAAAGAAATGCCAGAGCCATAGTGAAAATAATTAGTGTTGCTAGAAGGGATGGAGAGGACAGGATCCTCCTCCCTTACAACCGCAGTGAACTTTCATAGATTCACTAGTTGTCAGACAACTGCATCCATGCAGGATATTCTTCTCTTTTATTAATGAGCTTTAAAAAAATTGGAATTTAGATTTCCCTTACTCTGCTTCCCCCAGTGTTAAAGCTTTAGGTGCTTTATTACATTTTGAAAAAGCAGAGAGAGTAAAACACCTGGCAGTGTTTATCTCTGTCTGTACTACCCTCCCTTGCAGGGAGGCCTGAGGATTTATCTAACTTTCAGTGAAGCAGCTATGATTTTTCTTGCTCCCTGACATTCTTGAGCATTTGTTCCCCTGGTCTGTGTGAGAGAAGGTTGCTGCTTTGGTATGCTTGGTGCTGCAGGCTGCTTGGCTCATGTCCCCTTTAAGGACTGTGGTCAGGGATGCCTTGTGCACCTCTCTGCTTGGTGAGTGCATTACAAAGATTACCAAGTCTCTAAGAAGATTAGTCAGTAGCCTGTAGGTCCTGTTACGCCAAAACACTGCCTCCGCATAAACTAAAGCAAATGAACACAGTTCATTTAAGAATATTTTTGTCTGTTGAGCTCTGTTTTAGTTCAGACAAGAGAGGGGAAAAAACATTTAATTGGTTAAATGGAGAGAATGGAGCAAAAGTGGCTTAGTGGTTTTTAAACTGTCGCTGATACGTAGTAAGCAAGATAAGATTTCTGTAATGAGCTAATCTAACAAACAGCTGCCAATACAGTACAGTCACAGTTATCCAGCTGCTGTCGTATGAGGTGCCGAGTAACTTTGGATATTAGAAGTTACAGATACTGGGGTGATAGTAACCTGATTAGAGAGCAAGAATATTTGCATAACTGAGAAATACGTGATGTATGGATCAACAGTATGCCAATATGATTCTTTCTTTGGGTGAAAGAGACTTCAGCTTTCAAGAAGTGCAAATTGTAGCATGAGAATGTAAGAGTAGATCTTCAGTGGTTATCAACAGTGTGCCAATAGGATTCTTTCTTTGGGTTAAAAAGAGACTTCAGCTTTCAAGAAGTGCAAATTGTAACATGAGAATGTAAGAGTAGATCTTCAGTGGTTTTCCTGAGGTAGAAGAGATTGAATAAAGCTTTTCAGGCTATGGTGTAGCTTACCAAGAGGTCACTTGAGACTGTTTGTTTAAAATGGTTGCCAAAGATTAGAGACTGTCTCAGTGTACTTTAAATTCTGTATACTTCAAATTGCAAAGACGTACAGGTTACAGTAGCACCGAATGAGTACACTCAGTTGTGATTAGAGATGAAGGTTAATGATTTGGAAATGAGTCCGGAAAAGAGTGACTAAGAATAACTATGGAAACCACTTTGTTCCCTGCTTTTGAAGGCTGCTTTAGAAAAAAAAATGAATTTCCACTTACCGTGGTTGTTACAAAACGCACCTGTTGTCTGCTCTCCTGCACTTACTTCTGTTCTTAATCTACGTGTAAAAGAGGTGTTTATGGCATCTTCTTCTGACTGAACTGAATGGGACTGTAATATATCCACTAAAACCTTGCAGTGAGCTTAGATCCTGGAGCTTGCTGTTACTTCAGATGAATGCAGTGTTACAATGTTCTCTCTGAAAGTGTCATTACAGATTTCAGCATGTTGTCTCCCTGAAGTTTTACCAGTGCGTAAGATAACCTGCCTATGTAGAAACAGAGCACATAAAAGGTTTAGTAAAATGCATCAAGGGAAAGCATTAGTTTTCTGCTTATGAAGGCAGAGCTGCATCCTGAACTTCTTAAGTCACACTGTCAAATGCCAGTGAACGGCTTGCTTTCAGCTTTGTTAATTAAAAATCTTTAACTGTTTTCCATCAAGGGTCAGAGATGGCCTGACAATCATTTTTATGTAATTCTTTACTCAAAATCAATCAATCAATCTTGATTGATTTCTTTGATAGGGAAATATTTATCTGTCCATGTTCTTTTAGAGAAAAGGAGAAATCTTTCTAGAATGAGAACTAGGAAGGGGGGAATGAATGGCTTCATTCTTCACTGTTGCTCCCTGCCAAAATCTGTTGGGATGGAAGAAAGCAACTTTGTCCTTTCCCAGCTTTCAGCAGCGCAGTGACCAGATCTGACAAAAGAGAGCAAATAGCTCTTAAATGCACCGTCGCTCTGCTTTCATCAGCTTCTGAAGTGAAATGAACAATAAAAAGTTCACCCTGTTTGCCTGTGTTCAAAGTCTGCTCCAGAGTCAGAGATGCAAGGACATGAGGGTTTCCTTTTTCAGAATTCATTGTGATCTGTAAACATGTGGAAGTTGCTTCAAACTGAGCCTCTATTAGACTCCATTTCCCTGCACAGAATGATTTTTCAGTGGCATCAGGAATGCTGCTCAAAAGGAAAAAGGACTGGGATCGCATACCCTGCTGCTGCCTTTAATCTTTCCTTCCCTTTTTACATCACTGCCTAGCTCCATATTTTGATTGAAGAATAAAGTACAAATATAGTTTGTGTAGTACATGGAAACAATAAAAATTTGTAATGAGCTAGGGTATTGACAAACCCCAGCAGCTTTACTGTTTTATGTGAACAACTGAAATGTCTTGTAAATTAGACATCTTGAGGCATTATCAGGTGCCAGATGCTTTCCCCTTTAGCTACATGCTCTTTCCATTAAAAAAACCCAATAAAACACCGATGCTTTTTTCAAGCATAAAATAGAAAGGATTGAGAAAAATGTATCTTTAAGATTGATAGAAATATTTCCTTGATGGTATAGAACTTTCACTTGATTACATTAAAATATTTCTGAATAGTACTAAACTTTTCAAAAGTTGGGAAACTAATTGCTAACAGACTAGAGTGACCTAGAAGCTGAGAGGAAGTTAAACCACAAAATGGTGCTTAGAGCACCAGTGTACTGATGTGCTTAGTTAAAACAATCAAATTTACTGTAGTACTGGTACTGGAATAATGCATGAGAAATTCTGTTCAGGGACTGTTATATACAGCGTCTTGCTGGGTGAGGTCCAGTGTAAGGATTTAAGGATTATCACAGTTGGGTACTGTGACTGTACAAGTAATAATAATTCAGTTTTAATTATTCCAAACCTTTGGCAATTTCGGCAGCTTCTCTAAAATAAACACTTAGATGTTTAATAATTGCTTTGTTAGTCTTCATGAATTATGTGAATGTACATCTCTTAAAATCTGCTAGCAATAGTCATTAGCAACACCAGTGGCTGGTCCGCATACCTTTTTATGTTGACAGTGTTTTGCGAAGTTCATTGCCGACTGAGGCCAAAATTTTAAAACGCATTTTCCTTTAGATACTGTCATAAGTTTCCTATTTGGATATCCCGAAAGGTGATTTAGAGGGAGACAAAAAAAGGAAATGTTCTTCCCCTTTCTAAACGCCAAATACCTACAATTTCTCACTGGCGTTTCCAATGAATGAAAAAAGCTGAAAGTGGATGGAGAGCTGAGTGGAGGACAGGTATTCACCTCTTTTTAACTTCTCTCCCCTGCTGTCTCTCTATATGATGGGCTTCATTTCTTCTGGACAAGCTGCAGTTCATGCAAGTAGGAGTGCAGCAGGATTGTGCCTGCTCCAGGGTGTGCTGCAGGACTGCTGCACTTGGCTCCAGGAAAGAGCCTGCCTTAGCCAGGGAGGGTGGCATATGGCGAGGAAGGCAGGGCTCTGTCTCGCCCTCCTGAGTCATACCCCGAGAAGAAAGGTCACCAGGTTTAGTTTCTGCTCAGTTAATTAACTTCTGTCACTAATCAAATAGCAATTAGTAGATTGAATGCTTAATTAATGTTTTATAATTAAGAAATGCAATTCACATAATGAAATATACAGTAGTGAAAGGTATCTCATTTTTAATTGTCTTCATTATGTATCTGACTGCCAGTTTGTTCTGATATAATCAGTGATGGGAGAGGTAACTAACAGCACGTTACACTGTTGTTCTAATTTATAAGTGGTTTTTAAGGTAAAAATCTTCCCAGCTTGCATTTGAGAGTAAATTGTCAACTTATAGTTAGGATATACTGTTACGACATCATATGATGGCTGCTATATTGATCTCCTATCAAGTAAACAAGGCTGCAGATTTAGGGTCCACTTCAGTTCTTGCACACTGTATTTTTAGCACAGCACTTTGCATCTCCAGTTTTACGTGTTGTGCTTTTTTTACTTTAAGTTTTGCTGTGACTTTACAACGGAGTTCCAAAATAAAGGAAAAAATTGCTCTTTCATTTCAGTATAAATCTGCTGACTTTCCTCTCGCACAGAGCCTTGTTATTTAGTGATGTTAATAAACTTCAGCCCAGACTTTTCCATGTGGGGACTGCTTCTAATAAAGATTCTTTTCATGTCTAGGATGAAGTGGTAAAGTTGACAGATAAATGTCTTAACAATGCAATTGAGAGCCCAATCGCAGCAGCAATGTGGCTTCCAGCAGATATCAAAAGCAATATCCTGAAGGCCCAGGCAGAAGCAGGGCACAAGGTAAATACACAACTGATAAGGACTGTGATATTCTCAAATGTTTTATTTCTCTTTATTTCTCTGGTGTTGGAGAACGTGCCTTGCAGCTAAGGGTGCTCCAAGAGCCAAAGTCCAAGGTAGAGTAAGAGAGCCTCTCAACCTTTCTTTACAATAATAGTGGTCTGGTACTGGAACAGCTGCCCAAGGAGGAATCTCCATCCTTGATGATACTCAACATGTAGCTGGACAAGGCCCTGAACAAGACCTGCTTTGAGTGGTTCTTGAGCCAGATAACCTCTAAAGGTTGTCTTCTAACCAAGAAATTATTTTATGATTCTGTGACTAAGACTGTGCTTCTAGCATGTTCTAGTAAATCCTGTAGCAAATACTGGTATTTTATTTGGCTGTGTTGGTGAATTATTTTTATTTCTACACTGGAGTTTTCGCATAGAATTGATGTTTTAAGTCCCTCAGCAAAATGAACAGCCCACTTTCATGCTGGGAGGGAGGCTCTTGGCTCTTCTGTGGATCTCAGAACTGACACAAGATGGGAACAGGTATCAGAAATGTATACCTTTGTTCATTTTTCCCCCTCAGATTGTAAGAGAAGACAGCCTCACAGGTGTCAAGAATTCCAATATTCAGGATGCTGCTGCCAGGTACTGAAAAGATTTGGAAGAAACACGTGATCTAGTTACCCAAGTACAGCACTGAGAACGTGCAGTGTTGGTCTTTCAGTGGCTCAATGATCGTTGCATTTTACCTTGCATAGTGTAGCTTAACCTGGTGAGTGTGAAGTGTTTTTAAAATGAAAACCAGCAAGCACTATAGTTGCTAAGTTTTATTATATACAAGGTAAACCGGATACTCTTTATTCTCCCGTACTTTAATGGGAGACGTTCACAACATAAATGTTCCAACAGCAGCTTCAGTCACTGTAGTTATTTCTGACCTGTGAACAACTTCAGTGTGGGGAGAGGGGATGGGTCTGTTTGCAGTAGCTGTTTTCTAGTCGAGGAAAAAAAATCGGGTACAAAAACCTGACACTGACAGTTTATTTCCTGAGAATTACTGAATCTCAAATGATTGCCAGTTCCAGTGGGATTGCAGGCATTGGAAAGGTAAAGGGTTACAACATGTAATTTCTTGACCATTTGTGAAGATGAGCATGTGTCAGACCTCAAAGAGCACAGGCGGATATTGAATCAAATATACAATTAGCGATCTCAGAAATATGCTGTAACAAGTGATTTATGAAGAGCTTTGTGTGGAAGCTTGTACCTGTTGATTGTTTCGGTTTTTTTGTTGTTTTGTGCCAGGAACATTCTCCCATCAGGCAAAACACAGAGTAGTCCTCCAGCAACCAGTCCCGTATTTCAAGGCCCAAGAGAGCTGCTGAAAGCAATCCCGTCCTCAAACACCTTTGTTCCGTAAGTGACTCAGGAGAAACACATTTCTGGGGTAAGGGGATCATGTGGAGATTATCGTGAGCAGGTCTGAAAAGATGAGGAACAGTTGCTGAGCGTTTAGGCTACATCTGACTGAGCAGGTTTACCGATGCACCTTTAGTTACTGTTGCAACAGTTAATCAGTGTGGGCCAGGCCTCGGGGTGAGTATCTGTGCAAGCAGTAAGCGAATCTCTCTCATCTTCTGAAACGACTGAAATATCTGACATCCTGCTGCCCCTGGCTCTAAAGAGGAAGATAAGAGGATTGCAGGAAAGGCTTCAGGCGAGTTAGAAACAAGGACTGAAGAAGCTCCTTTGAGACAGAAGGCATTGATACTGTTGGGTCTATACACAGCTGTGGCTGAAACTGTGAAAGAGAGCAGTAATCTGTGGAGGTAGTTGGAAGGCATTTACTTCAGCATACTGACAAATGTAAGTCTTTTGTCTGCCTCATGTGGAACTGGTGTTGAGTTTTTGGGTTGAGCTATCAGGGAAGCAGCACTGTTTCATGCTACCCAGGCAGTGTGCTGATGAGAATGTTTTCTCCTTTCAGTAATGTGTTAAATGAGGACAATGCTGCCTCTAACCATGAGGACCTGCTGACTCCAGCTAATCTGGCTCCAGCTGAGGAGGCTGCTGTTTCAAAGGTATCACCACCTGCCAGCCTGGAAGGTTTCTGTGTGTCACGTTCGGAGCTACTGATGCCTCCAGGCAAGCTCAGCAGACCTTGCTGCATGCCTCTCATAACTCAGTGAATACCAGTCATTGGTGAATTCCAAAGAATGCTTTCTGGAGCATACAGGGACACTGTACAGATCTCTCCAAAGGCCATTTTTGGGTGCCCTTTCAGGTTCTTTGCCTGACGCTTATTTTTCTAAACTAATCATTTTCCTCACGCTGGTGGGGGGCCCCTTATATCCCAATGATTTGATGCTCCAGGAAAGAGACTGCAGGGATGAATTTCTGACATAGGCCATTCCTATCAAAATAACCACAGAGGGAAAAGTTTAAATTGAAATGTTTAAATGTTGTATTCTGGTTACCTTAAGGATAAGGTAATTTTTAACTGGACTCCATGAAATGCACATAGTAACTTAGGGGTCAACTTTCCTTTGTCCCTCTCTAAAAGAAGAGTCCAATATTGGACTGTGCTGTTACTTCAGCAGACTGAGAGGTTGTTCTGGATCACTAAAGCACCATGCCCTTTAGCTGTTGTCCCTCTAAACCAATATTATGTAGTTGATCCCACTGAATAATTATCAGTTTCATCTTCTGAGTTCAAATACTCAGCTCACAGACCTTGCTGACCTTCGTATCGAGTGTTGCAGTACAACATCTTTGCCTAGGAGAATGGGACAGTTTCACAGCTTACATGGCAAAGACGTTGTTTCCAGTGCGTTGATGAGAATAAGTGAAATGAAAAGGCTATTTTAAAAGATCATATGGAAAGATGTGAGAAAACAGACCTGATAAACAGTGGTGTTCATTAAGGACACAGGTCTGTAACTTGGGAAGCCACTAGAGTATTCAGCAGACCTATCTGGTTACTACCGGGAATTCAATTCAAAACTGATTTATTCCATAGAGCACTCCAGATGACCAGGACGTTTCCTTAACATCATTGACAGAGAATCTAATTGACTTTACAGAAGCCACACCTCGGGTAAATGTATTTCAAAACCAAACTTCTTCCTTCACACATACAGTGGTTTTTACTCATAAGCTCTCCTCTGGCTTTAGTATCTGTTCACCAGGCTTGGGTCTGCTGCTGTAAGGTGAAAGTTGTGATTGACCTGGATCACTGCCTATATTCCCCCCTCCTTGAAGGGTGATCGGTGTAGGGCTGTAGACCCTACAGCTTTGTAATGGAAGTGAAAGAACCTGAAGAGCTAACTTGTACCTGTGCCACAAGAGCGTGTAGTCTTATTTTGGTACACCTGCATGTACCAGCCTGCTTCTCAGGGTTTTGGGTAGATATAATACTTCAGAAATTATGCATAAATATGTATATATACACACAGACATAGATATGTGTGTGTGTGTATATATGTATTTATAAAACAAGTACTTGAAAAATAAACTTTTAACACAAATCAACCCTTTTGTATAGATAAAAAAAGTCTCTTATCTGTGCTGGCGAAAAAGGAGTAACGTGTGCACCAAAGAAAAAGGGGAAGGAGTAGGACCTTTAAACTGTTCACAGAAGTGTGCTCTTGGTTAACTTTGTCCACAAAACAGAAAAAAATAATAGGTTCAGTTGCTTTTCGGAAGGGAGCGCTATGCTGAAAGTGCTACCAGTGAGTTTCTGTGAGTGAGTGGGTATTAGCTGCGTACTGTGTGGCTGCCACTCACCATTTGGTATGAAGTCACATCTGTAGCTAAAGACTAGCGATGGACAAATATCCAAGATCGTTTTGGGAGGCAGTATTGTTTTGAGAATGTTCTCGGCTACTTCCAGCCTTTTCTAATGAGCATTTGTTTGCTTTTTGTAGGTGTCTTCCCAGCCCATGATAACACCAAGGTGGATAGTGCCAGTAAGTTATTTGACCATTCCTTAACAACAACAGAAAAAAAAAAAAGCAAGCTTTTGACAGGGTTAAGAAACAGGACCTCAAGTAAAATATAAAATACAATTCTAATTATTTGAAAGCCCATAAAATAATGTATCAGACTAAAAATAAAGCAAACTAATTCAGCTGGAGTAAATCAAGCAACATACATATCCTGTTACTATTTAAACTTCACTTTTGCTGCATTACATTGCAGGTAAGTGCTATAAAGTTTCTTTAAGAACCTGTATTTACACGCCCGTCCTGGAACTTCATGGATCTTAGTTTTTACTGTTACAAATAAATCATATTGAAAAATTAGCTAGTCTTGTCCTGGCAGGTTTTTATTTGTTTCCTGTTTCATTCTCTTCAATTCAGACTGGACTGATTTCCAATGGGCCTTTGGGAAATGATGTTGCCTTAGCTATGAAGGCAGTGAAAGGCAGCACAGAGACTCTCTTGTCAGCTGGATTGCCACCATCCCAGCAGACGTCCGAAATCCTTGCAAGGTAAGGTCTCCTCAGCAATCACTTTAGAAATCTGTATGGGGTGGAAAAGAAGTATGTGCTCTTACTACTTCCACTGAAATAGTTATAGGGGTCATTTAGACTCAGTGCCTTGTTTTGCTGTGCTCATAAACTGTAGTTCTGTCTCGCTGTATAGCATTTGAAATCTTATAAATAGAGTAGCTGATGTGTGTGTATTTTTATGTAACATTGTTTGAAGGGTAATTCAAGTAAGTAAAGGAACAAAGCATACAAATTTAGCTGGAGTTGGAGGTAAACCTGTTGTCATAAGTGCTGTAAAATCGATTAATTCTTGTAATTATAATTTCTCTTCAGTTTCTGTCCTTATCTGCTAACATGTTTTAGTACTAGACTAAAATTATGGTACAGATGAATTTTCTGAGAAGTCTCTTTACAGTGTTTCAATACCTGTCAGAGGATTGGCGGGGGGTGGGGATGTCCCCCAGTTATTTCCAAGCTGTAAGGAAGTCAAAGAACAGAATCTGTAGAAACCTTTCCCCTTGCTATTCTATTCTGCCGTGCGGTGAGGCAGAACAACGGCAGTGACGATCAGGACTTTCAGTGAACCTCTTACAATGCAGATGGCAATGATCCTACCGCTGCAGTGTGTGAAATCGATTCAGTTTGCTCTTGTGCAGTGGTACTTTGGAATCGTTTGTCTGTTGGTCTCATTAAATTATGAGGGGAACAGCTGTTAATGCTGTTTGGAACGGTACTCATCTTTTTCTTTTTTAATCCATCATGGCAGATATTTTTGGAGGAGTGTATTTTCAGGGCTTCTTTTTTTTTTTTTCCCCCCTTTTAGCCCAGTTACTGAGGATGCTACAATAAGAACGAAATGTTTACTCACCACTGAGCTCTAGAAGAAGGAGTTTCTGCACTTCCCACCTTGTAAAAACTAAAATCTAACATATCTCCAAGAGATCCTTCCAAAAGACTTGCCGTGGGATAAAACTCTTGCTGAACGCGAGTCAAACAGCTGGTTTGCTAGGATCCAGGAAGAGACTTCTACATTTACTGCAGTCTAACTGGAATTACAATCTAAACCAGGATATAAAACCACATGCACATTTGATCTTCTCCCTCAGGAGAAGTGAAATACCACACTGGAGCTAGTTCTGAATATGAGGAACAGAATCTAGTTGTGTTCTGGTCGCTAGGTTTAGTCTTACTTACTCTGCTGCCTCAAGTGTACTGGAAAGCGTTCACTGTGATGTTAGCTATGTAGGGTGTGAGCGTCGTATCCCTGACCGCTGTAGATTAATACTGGAAAGATGAGGAGAACTTGTAGGGCCACCTTGTGGCAATGCTACTTACGGTGGCTCACAGTAGCAATGACTGATTCACACTGCCAAGGACATTTTCTTCTGTGTGATTGTTCCCTCTGTTTTTCCTTTGTTTTACCAACACATATTCTCCTTTTTGGCCTTAAACCCCTTACTAATCCTTGCACCTCTTGTTACAGTACCTGGGAAGAATGAAAATCTAGTCCATCAGTGACCAACTACGTTGACTGGATTTGAGCTGCTTGTTGCAACCAGGAAAAAGAAAATTAACCTGCCAAACAGCTTATAGCATTAGCAGACTACAGCAGAGGTCTCACATTTTAACACTGGTTATTTTATTTCCTATATGACTCAACTACATGCATTTTAAGCTAGACATATGTATTTTAAATGCTGAAGCAGCGAAGGTATAAGTACAGCTTACTTCAGGTACTGCTTATTGGTTAATTTTGTTGTCATATAGGACTAGGAAGGAAAAGAATTTTCTTGTTTCTCTTCGTACTGTTTCTGGGTGTTGTTTCCAGATGCTATGCTTTGGGAGTACTTACCAGTGGCATGAGGGTACAACTAGATTGGTTCTCAACACCACCTCAGATCCTGTTCCAGGTATCATCTAACAGTTGTACATGGAACAAAGAATAGAAAGAATAAGGTGAAAAGAGGAAAAAAAGATGACAAGTCCTGTAAGCAGCTCACTTGTTTGTAGAAGGAAGGTAGGAGCACTTGTAAGAGCTCGCTCCACAGAGCTGGTGAAGGCCTTTTGGTGCTCAGGTGAAGTACAGGATACAATATGTACAGTTTGAAGAGGTCATTTGAGTTCTGGGCAGCAGGATCCTCATGTGGACACCTAGAGGTGAGCACCTGGACCCTGGGGATACAGCCTGTGAGAAAGATCAATGCAGAGTCAGAGGGAGGAGAAATACAGAAGCCTGATGATGAACTCCACATCTAACAGGGAAGCACAGATGAAAGAACTGGCATCTTTCTTTCTTAGGAAGAGGTTTGTACATATAATTGCGGTTGGAGGATGTTTTCTGCATAGTGCTGCTGTTTATAAATATTTATGTACATGTGGTTCTTGGAAACAATTTTAAATGTGAAAGTTGGTTCTGAAACCTGTATGCACAACTTCATTTCTGCACACCAGCTGCATGCATGTCTCTCAGTGGAGACAGATCTGGACCAAACCACTGTGGGTTGTGCGAGTAAGCTGGTGCCTGGCTAGGCTGCTTCTTTCAGATTAGGGCGTTCTTACTGTTGCTTTTGTGCTCTTGTTTGCAAGATCCTGAATGAGCGTGTTAAGGGAGAAGCCACGTGGCATTGACGTGGCCCACTGCCACTCCTCAAAACCCCCCGAGGCCTTAATAGAGAAATGTAGAAACCATGGGGAGCTCTTAGGACCAACAGTACCAGAGGGACTCTCTGCACACAATGATTTGCAGCCGTTGCCTCAAGAACTGTGAGTCGAAATTGGTGGCAGGTGCTTCAGGTCCCCCCTCCAGCCAGCGCCTAAAGCGCTGCTGGGGCCAGGTCCCCACTCCCCGTGCTGCCAGCCAGAGGGGAGCTGCTCTTCTGGACAGGCGGGATGTTCCTGCTCGCCAGCCCTTCAGCTCTGTCATTGTCACTTCCAGTTGAGTATTGGCGCTTTTTTGATACTTTTTAAGTCTGAGCCTTATTGCATATTAAAATGTAAAATGTTCCCAATTCAAATATCAAATGTCTTGGTCTGGATTAATAATACAGTTGCCAGCAAAGTTCCTGCAGAAAAAGGGAAGCTATGGCTGCAACAGTCTGCTTCCTGCACAAAGCCAGGACTGTGTGGGGAAACTTGGCACTTGCTATTGATCTGTTTGCGCAGCAGCTGAGCTGGCATTCGCCAGCTACATGTGTTGGTTTTGTAAATAGACAGAATGCAGTAGCGTTTTCTTTAAGGCACGTTTGATATTTGACTCTTCCCAGTGGGTTCGGGAGCTCTGTGAACTGTTAGCTTGAATCCCTCCCAAAAGTAGAATAACAGAAGTTTACAGTTTTACAGCATTGCGTGTTGAATGCCATCCTTCGATTCCTCCCGAGCAATCACATACAGCAAATAACAAGTAAATAACATGTGTGGTGAGTGTGTCCCCCTAAAATCGAAATGGTTCCAAGTAGCCAACTGTTACTTCAGCATGATCAGGATAGTGGTGATCAGAGGGGAATGTTGTATTTGCACGCATGTGCACACACAGGAAAATTTCAAAAGGGGCAAGGTTTTCCTCGATTTTCAGAGAACTAATACTTGAAACTTCATTTAAAAATTCAGAATTTTCAACTGTTAAACTGGGGACTTGTAATTCCTAGTAAATTTGGGGCTGCAAACCCAACTCTTTCGAGTGATATCTGATATTTGGAGAAAACATTCACTCGATTTAACTCAAAGTAGCTTATTTAGCTAATCCAAATCATTGCTTATATAGGGAGCCTGGCAAGACTAAGGTGCCATGGTTACGTGATCTGAACAGACACATAAGTAGGTATCTGAACATCTGTAGTTTGGCATCACTGTTTTGCTTTAAAACTATAGGTATCATGTTGTATCATGATTGGCTAATGGCTAACACAGCTTTACTCATCACCTGCATTTTATCAAATACAAATAGGTATAATAGTTCCTACAGTTAGTATTATAAAGGATTAATTAATGCCTGTGTGCTACTGAGAAAAAGGGATTTTCTTACCATTGCTGTAGTATTGATTGATTGGCTATAAGGTCCAATCATCCTCTAGAAGTTTTATTTTTTGGTACTTACTTAGAGATTTATAAGTAAAATGTTTGTGTAAATCTGGTGTTGGGATGTTGGCAGGTCTGCCAACCACTTAAAAGCTGTAAGAGTTGACAGGAATGAATAAATGCACGTTCTGTTGCAGTCATTTGGAAAAAGCCAGCTCCCTGATTTAAAAAAAAAAAAGGTAGGTCCAATTTTTTTTGCTATCTCAGTTATTCCCTGTTGACTCACTAATGCATGTCCTGGCCTGTCCTTGTTAACTGGCCTTGTACTTTTTTGCTGCGTGTGCACGCAATGCTGGTCAGAGATGGATGTGGTTTTTAACTCTATAACTAAAAAATGATAAACTAAAACCATAAGTAACTGAGTCTAAAAGTCAAAGTGATTTTACTCCAGTCACAATCTATAAGTGATTGGAGTAAAAGATTTTACAGAAATCTTAACATTTATAATGGCAAAAAAACCCCAGCCCGTATCTCAAACCGGTTGATGGTAGGGAGATGCTGGACCTTAGAACTGCATTTCAGTCTCCCCCATTTAGTCCAGCAGGAAGAGACCAGAGAGTCTGCGTCTGCCGAGTACGTGGAAAGAGTCTCGCACGCTTTTGAAATGGGTATTAAAATATGGGAGTTCGGGGCCTCTTACACTTGAATTAAGGGAATCTCTTCTCCAGTTCAGTGGGAATGGGGTTTAATGTTAGGTAAGTCATATGACATAAAATAACCACTTCCCTGGTGGTAATCAGTCATGGTTAATAAATTAGTTTGAATGTATTTGATTTTAAACTTAAATTCCACATATCCTCTGTCAAGATACAGCCGTGTGAAAAGCCATGTTTTGGACAATTTTTTGGACACAACTTTGGCAAGAAAATTTGCAGCACCGTTAGAGGAACTCGGGCAAACAGTCCGCTTACATTTGAGTCTCTTCCCACAAACTATTTCTAGCCCTTGCCTGTTATCCCTTTGCCTGCACCTTGCTCATTCTCGTTTCTTGAAGCGAAGGTGTACTGTTAGGATCAGCATGTCCTTCATGAACAGCACCGGATAGATTTTTCACATTGTGAACGTATTCTGCTACAACCCAAATCTTCTACAGATGAAGTGTTAGCACCTCTGTTTCACGGCCAGCTAGCATTTAAAGCTCTATCTGGGCACACAGAGTGTTTGTTAGTCTAGGAAGTTGTAGTGTATATGTATATATAGCTGTTAGACATGGTAACGTCACAGGTTTCAAATGCAGCTGGACAATCGTAACTTTTATACCAAAAAATAAAAATAATCCATGCTAATGGCCTTTCAGTGACGCGGGTGTAATCTGTGTGTGTTTGATCTGAGTGTTAGCACCACAGGACCCTCGCCACCGCGCTCACACGGAGGTAGAGTTGGTGTGATTCCCTTAAGCGCTGCACCGTCTTCTCGCAGCATTGAGGAGGGAGATGCAAGCGGTCGGCGCAGCCTGTTGAAAGCCGGGGTCCGTCACTCGGCATTGCAGGGGCTGGGTGCTCTGCGGGCCGTGAGGAGTGGGTGCTGCCCCTGCGCTGCTGTCGGACCCTACGCAGCAGGGAGCCGCAAGGTTCTCCAACAAAATTCACCTCCCTTTTCACTGTTTGGCTTGAGCACTCTGCTTCATGACCACACACACCCACACCCCCCTACCTACAACTGGACAAACTTATTTTTAAAGTATGTAAGAATATTTTTTAGCTAGATTTTTTTTTTGTTAAAGCCACACTAACTACTGTATTTTTACCTTTTATATGTAAAGCTTGGCAATAGCTCTCAATGTATAATTTATTTGTTGTTTTTTTTA